ACAGGCTGCAGCAGCAGCAACAGGCTGCAGCAGCAGCAACAGGCTGCAGCAGCAGCAACAGGCTGCAGCAAGAAGCTGCAGCAGCAACAAGGGTCCTCAGGGTGACCCTCGGAAGCAGCAGCAGCAGCAACAGCAGCAGCTAGCTAGCTAGCTAGCTAGCTAGCTAGCTGGCTAGCTGGCTGGCTAGCTAGCTAGCTAGCTAGTGATTTCTACATAGTGTCTGTGGAGCTAGGTAGAGGTATCTATCTAGCTAGCTAAGTGGCTAGCTAGATGTATAGAAGCGTATAGCTAGCTAGCTAGCTAGCTAGCTAGCTAGCTAGCTAGCTATCCAAGGAAGCTAGCTAGTTAGCTAGCTAGCTTGATACCCAGCTATCTACCTGTATAGCTAGCCAGCTAGCAGCAAGCCAGCTAGCTAGCCACCTAGCTAGCTAGCTAGCTATGTGATTACTTCTTTTTGGTGTCTGTATAGGAACAAAGCGATGACAAAGAAAAACAAAAAAAAATTAATTTTTGTTTTTTTATATGCGGGGAGAAGCAGAGAAAAAAAACACAAAAATACAATATAAAACAAATTATAATATATTGGGGCTGCATGCAAGTGCATGCAGATGCATGCACTTGCATGCATGCATAAATACCTTTGCATGCATACAGCTGCATGCATTTGCATGCATAAATACAACTGCATGCATACATCTGCATGCATGCATGCGTTTGCATGCATGCGTTTGCATGCACATGCATACATGCATGCATGCATGCATCTGCGTGCATGCATGCATGCGTTTGCATGCGTTTGCATGCATGCATGCATGCATGCATGCAGTGGCTGGTGTCATTGGTCCACTGGTTTGAAGATGGCTCTAGCTAGCCGCAACCAAATAGGCAGCTCGCATCTGCATCTGCTGCTGCTGCTGCTGCTGCTGCTGCTGCTGCTGCTGCTGCTGCTGCTGCTGCTGCTGCTGCTGCTGTCGTTTGGGGGCAGCGGCAGCAACGCCCAGCTGCCTGGGTCGTCTCCCGATCCAGAGAAGCTGCAGCAGCAAACGCATGCACAGCAGCAGCAGCAGCAGCAGCAGCAGCAGTAGAAACCATCATAAAAACAGCAGCAGCAACAACAGCAGGAACAAAAAAAAAACCAGCAGCAACAGCAGCAGCAACAGCAGCAGCAACAGCAGCAGCAACAGCAGCAGCAACAGCAGCAGCAACAGCAGCAGCAACAGTACTACAACTGCATGCATTGCATCTTCTCTCCCTCTCCCTAATCCTCCAAATTCTATAAACCAAGGGTTTAGGGTTTAGGGTTTAGGGTTTAGGGTTTAGGGTTTATATATACTTATAAGATATTCTTCTTTGTTGTATAATATATTTATAATCGGGGTGTATAGGCAGCATATCCTGCATGCAGTCGTTTGTAACTATAAACAAATCTCTCTCTATCGCCAGCTGCAGCAGCAGCAAGTCATCGTATGTGCTGCGACGCTGCGGAGTGAAACAATACCTTCTCCTGCTGCTGCTGCTGCTGCTGCTGCTGCTGCTGTTGCTGCTGCTGCTGGTGGTGGTGGTGCTGCTGGTGTTGGTGTTGTTGGTGCTGCTGCTGCTGCTGCTGGTGTTGTTGGTGCTGCTGCTGCTGGTGCTGCTGCTGCTGCTGCTGGTGTTGTTGGTGCTGCTGCTGCTGCTGCTGCTGCTGCTGCTGCTGCTGGTGTGTAGCCTGGGGTATCCCTCTGGGGCAACGACGATGAGCCCCTTTTGCTGCAGCTGCTGCAGCAGCGGGAGACGCAATACAGAGACAGAATGTCTGAGCCCTTGCTGCTGCAGCTGCTGCTGCAGCAGCAACTCTTCCTGCTGCAGCAGCAGCTGCTGTTTATATTTGAGTAGCAGCTTTTGTCTTTTTTTATATTTTCCTTTCCCTGATACAGAACGAGCAGCTTCTAGTGCAGCAGCAGCAGCAGCACCTGCTGCTGCTGCTGCTGCTGCTGCTGCTGCATGCAGCCCCAAATCATATAACCAACTCGGTATCACAACCCTACATATTTCTGTTTTATATTTTTGTAGTGTCTCAACACACCGCAGCAGCCTGCGGAGGTCAAAGACAACCTCTTCTTCCTCCTGCTGCTGCTGCTGCTGCTGCTGCTGCTGCTGCTGCTGCTGCTGCTGCTGTTTGGGGACAGCAGCAACATTACACCCATCTATAACAGCACCGCGGAGACACCAACCAGAGGGGCAGCGGAGCTGCCCCCCGCGTGCATGCGTTCTTAGGGCTTCAATCAGCAGCAGCTCTTCTTTTTTTATTTTCTCTTTGCTGCACCACTGGCAGTTGCTGCTGCTGCTGCTGCTGCTGCTGCTGTTGCTGCTGCTGCTGCTGCTGTTGTCGCTGCTGCAGTAGAAGTAACCGGGACGGGAAATACTGTTGCCCTGGAAAGGACGAAAAAGACCGCTGCTGCTGCTGCTGCTGCTGCTGCTGCTGCTGCTGCTGTTGTTGTTGTTGTTGCTGCTGCTGCTGCTGCTGGTGTTGCTGCTGGCCGTGGTGCTGCTGCCCGTGGGTGCGGTGCTGCTGCTGCTGCTGCTGTTGCTGCTTCCTTTTCTGTTTTTCCTATTGCTGCTCCTCCTCCTCCTCCTGCTGCTCCTGCTGCTGCTGCTGCTGCTGTTGCTGTTGCTGTTGCTGCTGCTGCTGCTGCTGCTGCTGCTGCTGCTGAGCGGTGTCTCCTCTTCTGAGCCGCTCCCGGCTCTGCTGCACTGCTGCGCATGCGGGTGCTGCAGCAAGCCCCCCCATTGCTGCTGCTGCTGCTGCTGCTGCTGCTCCGAATCCTCGCTCTCCTGCTGCTGCTGCTGCTGCGGTTCCCAGTGCACACGTTGCTTCTGCTGCTGCTGTTGCTGCTGCTGCTGCTGCTGATACTTTTGCTGCTGCTGCTGATGGTGCTGCTGCAGCTTCAATAGGAGTTCATCTGCCTCCTCATCGTTAGCTGTCTGCAGCAGCAGCAGCAGCTGCTGCTGCACATCTTCATATTCTCTATCCCCCTCGTCCTGCTGCTGCTGCTGCTGTTGCTGCTGCTGCTGCTGCTGCTGCTGTTGCTGCTGCAGTTCTAGTTGCTGCTGCTCCTCCTGCTGCTGTTCTACCTCCTGCTGCTGCTGCTGGTATTCATCACTACTATCTTGAACTGCATATTGCTGCTGTTGCTGCTGTTCCTGCTGCTGCTGTTCCTGCTGCTGCTGCTGCTGCTGCTGCTGCTTGGAGAAGGTGAGACAGAAGGGGCCCCAGAAGGCGACAACTGTCTGCGCGCCATCAACAGGCAGCAGCTGCAGCTCCGCATATGCTGCAGACACCTCACCCCTGCTGCTGCTGCTGCTGCTGCTGTTGCTGCTGTTGCTGCTGCTGTTGCTGCTGCTGCTGCTGCTGTTGTTGCTGCTGTTGTTGTTGTTGTTGTTGCTCTTTTGTTCTGCAGCAGCAAGCTCTGCCTGAGCCACAAGCGCTGCTGCTGCTGCTGCTGCTGCAGGGGCCCCCTCATCATCGTGGGGGCCCCCAGCAGCAAACTGCTGAAACAGCTGCAGCAGCAGCGGCAGCAGCGAGAGGTGATAGACATCAGCAGCAGCAGCACGAGATCCCACAAAGACAAACTGCAGCACGTCAGACAAAAGAGGATCTACCTGAACTCTCCTGTTGCTGCTGCTGCTGCTGCTGTTTGTGCTGCTGCTGCTGCTGCTGATGTTTGTGCTGCTGCTGCTGCTGCTGCTGCTGCTGCTGCTGCTGCTGCTGCTGTTTGGTTCGGATGCGGCAGCAGACTCCTCCCACTGGACCTGCTCTAGCCACCAATTAGAAGACATATGTCTTGCTGCTGCTGCTGCTGCTGCTGCTGCTGCTGGTGCTGCTGCTGTTCTTGTCGTAGCAGCAGCAGCTGCTTCTGTTCTCCTCCGTTAGCTGCTGCAGCTGCTGCAGCTGGTGCAGCTGGCTCAGCAGCAGCAGCAGCAACTGCTGCTGCTGCAGTGTCTGCCTTGAGAAGATATCAGCCCCAGTAAAGCTGCTGCTATGCCTATGAGGATTTTCAGCAGCAGCAGCAGCCGCTGCTGCTGCTGCAGCTGCTGCAGCAGCAGCTGCTGCTGCTGCGTGTGTCTGTGTGCGTGTGTGTGTGCAGCAGCAGCAGCAGCACGAGCAGCAACAGCAGCAAAAAATAAAAATAAATTTATTATATTTGGGGTTTTGGGTTTGTTGCTGCTGTTTGCATCAGCAGCCCCCTTGTGCTGCTGCTGTCTTTGAGGCCCGACATTGCTGCTGCTGCTGCTGCTGCTGCTGTTGCTGCTGCAGCTCATCTAATATTTTATTTCTTAATATATTAAAAAATAAAATATTAATATAAAGAAGAACAAATACAGCTGTAAGCGGACGAGCAGCAAACAACTGCAGCAGCAGCTGCTGCTGCTGCTGCTTGGGGGCCCCACCAGCAGCAGCAACAACCTCCGCTGCTGCTGCTGCTGCTGCTGCTGCTGCTGCTGCTGCTGCCTTCTGCTGCTGTTGCATGTGTAGGCAAAGTATATAGGTTTTCTTTCTTTGTACTGGGTCTCTTCTTGCTCAGCTAGTAGTTGCAGCTGCTAACAACGTTGCTGCTGCTGCTGCTGCTGCTGCTGCTGCTGCCGCTCGCCTTGCAGCAGCAGCTGTAGTTGTCTGTGCTGCAGCAGCAGCAACAGCAGCAGCTGCAGCAGCTTCTGCTGCTGTCCGAAGCAGCAGCAGCATCAGGTGTACAGTGGAAGGCACAGCTGCAGTGTCTGCTGCTGCTGTTAAGCAGCAGCGCGAGCAGCAGCAGCAGCAGCAGCAGCAACAGCAGCAACAGCAGCAGCAGTAAGAACAGCAACGAGGATCTTGATGCAAATACAACAGCAGCAGCAGCAGCAGCAGCAGCAGCACTTTGTGCTGCTGCCCCGGGTGGTGCCTTAGGAGACACCACACGCCCTGCGAAGACAGCAGCAACTGCAGCAGCAGCAGCAGCAGCAGGAGCAGCAGCTGGAGCAGCAGCAGCAGCAGCAGCTGT